TTTTATTGTTGCATGTTTGTCAATTATGTAAAATATATGTTCATATTAACTTGTTTTATTTATTTACTATTTTTATTTAGTACTTATTAGTGTGTGAGGACATACACCATCACAATATAGAGATATGGAAACACTAAAGTAATTAAACCCTAAGGTAATCATCACTGTCACAGATAATTACAAATAGAATCACTCACGCTAAGGGATAAAATAGGTGAGCATAGCTCCGTGTATATATGAACTGGTTTATGGATAATTGGTAAAATATAGAGGCGGGGGAGGGAGATTGTAGATGCACTGTTTTGTTTTATTGTTGCATGTTTGTCAATTATGTAAAATATATGGAGCATTGTTTGAAAATTAATAAATAATTATATAACAAAAAAAATCCCTGGTTCACACCTAGGCGGCACCGTTTTTGCGCATTTGTATGCACGTTAATGCGCATTGTGCACATTTGTATGCGCGTTTTAACGCGTGTACAAGAAGACGCAAATTTTTATCAGCACATCATAAACCATTTTGAACAATTGAAGAACGAGCATATAAATGCGCAAAAACGCTCACGTTGTGCAGCATGCTTCTGTAGCGTGTTTTTCGGCATTTCCAATGAAGTCTATGGGAAGGAAAAGCACTTTTAACTGCCCAAAGAAGATCCTGTATCTTTTCAGGCGTCTGGAGTTTTCCTGCTCGTCATTTTTCTGCTCAGGTGTGAACCAGGGCCATTGAAAATCATGGAATTTCTTGTGCAGCACAGTTAAAAGTGCTTTTCGAACTGCTTAAAAGCTCCTTGGTGTCTTACAGCTCTAAACTTGTCTCTCAGATCTATACCCAACTCAACACATTGACCTCCCCAACTAGACACTCTTACGTAGGAAAATGGGAACGGGACCTAGGGGTATCGCAGCCTCTGGAGAGTTGGCAGCAGATCTGGGCCTCAATGGCCATCTGCTCCATCAATATCTCTTCCATGGAAACGGCCTTTAAGTCCCTCATGTGGTGGTACCTGGTGCCGTCCAGATTGGCCCACCTTCACCCTTCACACTCGCCAACATGCTTCAGAGGCTGCTCGTCCCTGGGCGACGTCCTCCACACGTGGTGGTCTTGCCCCATGATTACCAGATTTTGGTCGAGAGTTTTCCGTTTGCTGGACAGCCTATTCTCGGTAAAGCTCCGCAAGGACCCATGGATGGCCTTGCTACACCTCAAATCTCCACTCCTTACGAAACCCCAACATCGCCTAGCCACGCATGT